TGTGTGCTGGAGTACAGCCAGTAGATCAGGTAAACCATCAGCAATACTTACCCATCAGTGTTTGTGTGCTGGAGTACAGCCAGTAGATCAGGTAAACCATCAGCGATACTTACCCATCAGTGTTTGTGTGCTGGAGAAGTGTCTGTGTGCTGGAGTACAGCCAGTAGATCAGGTAAATCATCAGCAATACTTACCCATCAGTGTTTGTGTGCTGGAGTACAGCCAATAGATCAGGGGAACCATCAGCAATACTTACCCATCAGTGTTTGGATGCTGGAGTACAGCCAGTAGATCAGGGAAACCATCCAGGTCAAAGTCGCCCGACCTCAGAGTGACAGGTAACCGTTCCATTCCTTTAGGGTTCTTCTCGGGGGTCACAAAACTCCACATGGTTCCACCCCCTGAGTCAAAGCTGACACCAAGTTTATGCCACTGAAATAAACACACGTTGAGGATCTTATACCAATAAGTATAGAACACATGTATGGTCCAGTCAACTGTTCTTTATCCTCTTTCATACTTGGTAACTTTAAAAAAATATATATATAGGGGAGATTCTGCAATTTTCAAAATTAAAACAAAATAAAATGCTTGTATATATATCCCCTAGATAAAAACAACAACTTCAAAATGACAGATGAAATCACCAGATCTTAGAATATAGAAATAGTCCAAAATTTGGAATCTCCTTCTTAAGTAGGGAGAGTTGGCAAGCATGCTCTTTAATTCTTTAGAAGCTTCTTTCTAATCATTTAGAAGTTATTTATCCCTTGTGTGTTCACAACAAATGAATTAAAATTGTATCATCTGTCATAAACTACTTGACTCTTTAAAAAGAACAAACTATAACTGAGTTTCAGATCAATGCTAGGGTTATATTACTATACTACACATAGACCCAGTCCCTCAGATAATCTTAGTAAGCCAATCAAAGCAGGCTATCACATGTGGTAATTAACAAACAAGTTAACAGGCTATCACATGTGGTAATTAACAAACAAGTTAACAGGCTATCACATGTGGTAATTAACAAACAAGTTAACAGGCTATCACATGTGGTAATTAACAAACAAGTTAACAGGCTATCACATGTGGTAATTAACAAACAAGTTAACAGGCTATCACATGTGGTAATTAACAAACAAGTTAACAGGCTATCACATGTGGTAATTAACAAACAAGTTAACAGGCTATCACATGTGGTAATTAACAAACAAGTTAACAGGCTATCACATGTGGTAATTAACAAACAAGTTAACAGGTTCCACAAGTCTTTGGATTGATAATTTGTATCTAACACAAAAACCGACAAGTTACATCAAACCAAACTATCTCTTGTTTTAACTTAATTGGGACATATAAGAAGCTAAAGGCCCAGACAATAGGTAATATACCCTGTGTTGATCTATGTCACCTACCACAAGCTTGGAGAGGGCTCCACTAACATATTAACAGTAACCCCATATTAATCTATGTCACCTACCACAAGCTTGGAGAGGGCTCTACTAACGTATTAACAGTAACCCCATATTAATCTATGTCACCTACCACAAGCTTGGAGAGGGCTCTAATAACATATTAACAGTAACCCCATATTAATCTATGTCATCTACCACAAGCTTGGAGAGGGCTCCACTAACATATTAACAGTAACCCCATAGTAATCTATGTCACCTTCCTGAAGCTTGGAGAGGGATCTACTAACATATTAACAGTAACCCCATATTAATCTGTCACCTACCACAAGCTTGGAGAGGGCTCCACTAACATATTAACAGTAACCCCATATTAATCTATGTCACCTTCCTCAAGCTTGGGGAGGGCTCTACTAACATATTAACAGTAACCCCATATTAATCTATGTCACCTTCCTGAAGCTTGGGGAGGGATCTACTAACATATTGACAGTAACCCCATATTAATCTATGTCACCTACCTCAAGCTTGGAGAGGGCTTCACTAACATATTAACAGTAATCCCATATTAATCTATGTCACCTCCCACAAGCTTGGGGAGGGCTCCACTAACATATTAACAGTAACCCCATATTAATCTTTGTTACCTTCCTCAAGCTTTGAGAGGGATCTACTAACATATTAACAGTAACCCCATATTAATCTATGTCACCTCCCACAAGCTTGGAGAGGGCTCAACTAACATATTAACAGTAAACCCATATTAATCTATGTCACCTACCTCAAGCTTGGAAAGAACCCAGATGTCGCAACTATCTCCAACACAGCTCGGCATCAGCACATCCATCTTGCTGTCTGCATCTATCAATTAAAATACAGGGAAATCTGGATTGTTTTTACTGTGTACAATTTTGACACCATTCATACATCCATTGACGAGAGTATTAGGGATAGACTAGATTGTTTTACTATATATTTAGACACCACCCATACATCATCAGTATAAGTATTCAAATCTCCTGAGTTTTAGATGACAAACCTAACAGAGACTTAGTGTATTCTTCAGGTATCCACTGTTGTTTCCCCCTAATGAAAACAGCCTAAAGATAAGGCTATGGTCCCCCTTATTCTTGAAATGTTTGAGCATTGAACACATAAGTAAAATGGTCTGGTTTGAATTTAAATGAAAATGTAAAAATATTAGTTCTTATCAATCATACCTTACTCTCAGACACACTTTTAATTCGAGTTAATTATTTGAAGTTTTCACACAATATGGGGCAGTCCATCAGTTAGTATGATACTATAATAAATCCATTTACCAGATAGTTTAATCATGTAAAACCCACTTGTACCCATGTATATCAACTTACCAACATCCACATATGTGGCCTGACCTCGGTTCCCATTCTTCATCCCTGATGGGTAGGTAAAAATAGGATGGCTATTGTGGAACACTCCATGCTACAAACATACACAGACAGTGATATAACCCTGGAGTGTGGACCTCACCATGTTACCAACTTGAAACTATGGAGATAGTGATATCATTCCTAAAATCATATTGTTCTTTCACGTTTATATAATGAAATGCCTTATAATCTGATAATCTCAACATCTGAAACATTCTGTTTGATTCTGATGTATGTATATCAGGAGAGAAACTACTAAATGTTTGTACATATGACCAAGGCTCCAACTTCGTTTCAAAATGTTTCCACACATTAAGTTTGTTGACCGATTGATTTCTACAAATGGAACTACTAGGTAAATGCAACGTCAACAAAGCATTCCTACAGACAGATTGAAAGGAAAACACTTGTTGGCCCATACATTCTGTTGCAGGAACAAACCTGCAATATTCAGTTTCCGAACCAGGAAGTGTTAACCAAAACAAAAATGTCTGTGTTGTCAGACCCGACTCACCACATTATCCAACTGTTCAATGCCCTCGTCAGTCACTAAACTTATATCTGTAACAGACAAAGACAATTTATTACAACATACTGCCACATCTGCTACTCTACAGGATCTTAAAAAGTACAACTCTGATAGGAAAACAATCAGAAAGTTACAGAAACATCAAAGTGAATACCAAATTAATTGTCATGGAATCATTGTAGAGAAATGATAATTCAAATATCACAGAAATAGGCAGAGAATCACTATATGAGTTTTCGTATATACAATGAACAAAGACAGTTGAGTGAAGTGGATGGTACTACATGTATTACCGGCCGCCAGGTCACCGTCCATATCCACAAAGCCGCTGGACTGAGGTTTGGTCACACTGTGTTTTACAGAGGAGGCCAAATGCTTGGTAACATTTCCTCTGTCTCCCTCACTATAAGAAATATAAACACTTGAGAGTTAATTATATTGTCACCAGGAAATCTACATTTTATTTTATTGTATTGGAACACATCTGCATCACATTTGTTATATTATACACACATACAACAAAAGTTTTTTACCCTTTGGCATTTGAAAATGAATTTGCTCTGTGTCAGATTCAACCCCTTATTGCTTTAAAACTGCAAAACGACACCTTTCACATTTTTGTACCTTCTTATATTTGTTAAAAGGCAAACAAAAAAAATATATATAAAACTCTACATCAATTTACTGATTTTACAGCATATGCATTCGGTATTATAAAAAAAAGTTCAAAAATGTTTTGTTTTTTTAGATATTTCTAAAGTTGTACTGAAATGTCTACTAAGAAGTTGTAGAATTTATTTAACTCACTTAAATATCCAATAGTAAGAGTGTCCATCCTGCTCGCCAAGAAGATCTGGTATGAGATCACCATTAGCACTGAAAACATCACCAATCAATTTCTTCAAGTTAGTCATCAGTAAAATTATAAATGTATCAACATTTTATAGAATAAAGAAATTCTGGAGAATAAAGATACAAACAACTATATCTGTATAAAGCAGATTTAGTGGACCAATAGTTAAAGAGTATATAGTACTATATACTGTAACACACATTCAATGATTATCAGTCACTATCTTAGTTGTAACACTGCATTAAAGCAAACATGAGACAAGGCCCCATAATCTCAAAATTTGTAAGTGTGAGAATGGTCTCAGTTCTCAAAATGTAATAAATAACGGCTTCATGTTTTCAAACGTTCCTTGAAACAGTAAAAGTTCATCTCTTGACTTGAATAGAGGATGAATAGCAAAAAAACATTAAGAACATTTAGAAGAAAATATGAAAGTTAAGAATATTAAATTTAAGATCATTCTTAAAGTGAAGAATTTTTGTGATACAATGAAGGCAAATCATAGTAACACAAAAGTATACAGGCCTTGTCACAATACTGAATACATGTAGAACTCTTATACTCACTCCAATAACAGAGGCTGGTCATCAAAGTTTCCTGATAACGTCAATGGCTCAGGTACTGCAATCAAAGGTAGAAAAAATAATTCAGATAATTATTGAAGGTTTTTTCTTGTATTTAGTTCCAATTTCTCATGTTTCCCTTCTTTGCAAACTAACTGCCATGAGTAAAATGACAATGTTACAAAAAAAACTGTGTAAATCATTAAATATACAGCGACTACTTCATTTCTGGGCTTTGGATTTTTTTATGTCAAATTGGAAGGAAAAGTCATTGAGAATGGGACAAATTTAATTCATCAGCAGGAAAATAATGTCTTGCATCAATCTATGAATTAAATATATAGATGTATTACCAAGACTATCGGTAGTCAGGACACCCCAGTATATTTGAACTTGAACACCATGTGGCATACTATCAACTCTGCAAGTCACCAACAAGTCCATCTGTGTGTCACCATCAAAGTCTGCAGGAACAACATTGCTGATTATTCCAATGCTGCTGCTGTTTTTTAACAAAGTGACACTTTTAAATGGCTCATCTTCCATGGACGTGAGAAGGACTTGGACACTGGCTCCTGAAATAAATGAAGACAGCACATCTGTTATACTGTTTGCATTACTTGTTGATGATAATTGATATTATACCGGGTACTTAATTCAAAGAAAACATTACTGTCATTAGTAAGAAAATACTTAATTAATAATATATTACCCCTGTAATGTATTGTAGATACATGATCACTCATTCTAAGTGCAACAAAGTCATGAATATACTAGAATCAGCTTGTTTGACCAGTTATCTTAATTATATTGAATAAAGTGAATGCTTTGTAAAATAAAACTTTATCCTTTTTTTATTTTTTTATTTAATGACATGATTTGAATTGCCACTTTATTACAACCCTTTACAGCATTTATTAAATGTAGAATTTCATCAATCATCTCCACCTTCCCCACCCTCACATCTTTGTTCTGTTCTATGGTAGGTTATAACTTCACCAATCAATCTTAAACTCATCCTCTCTGACGCTGTTAATCAGGTGGGGCACAACGGAGCATATGGGTAATAATCCTGCATATGGGTAACTTTTTTGTATGTTATTGTTGAATGCACTTCGAATCTACTTTCACTATTCTATATAAAAAAATCAAAATTTTGTACTTCACTAACTTTATTTAAAATCGCTATTTATATGGTTATTATAAACAACTTTTGTTTGAACGTTTTTTCGTGTTTTGACATTTTCGTGATTTTAGATGTCCCGACTTTTAAGGCTTCAAAGGTCTCGTGAAATACTTTCAAAACCGAAAACTGTTCAACCAAACGTTGTTTGTAATAACCAATAGATATGGCGATTTTCAATAACGTAAGGGAAGTACAAAATTTTGATTTTTTATATAGGATAGTAAAAGTAGATTCGAAGTGCATTCAACCATAACATACAAAGATGTTCACAAATGCAGGATTATTACCCATATGCGCTGTTGTGCCCAACCTGTTAATGAATCATAAACAAAGCTCCACTGATCCACTGACAATAAGCACACACTGCATCTCAATCAAACCCCAAATTCATCCCAATACACACAGTGATCTGTCTATGAATCCGCAATCTTCACCAAAACTATGTACGACTATATATCATTACAAGCTGTCTTTTAATTGAGAGTCTGTAAATAGCACCTCGCACAGGTCATTTCGTGTCAATTTACCTCCATTTGTGATGACAAAAATATCGATGTTTTTATCAGCATTAAAATCACCAAATGCCGCAATGACACCATTAGAATTAGCTCCAAAAGCTTCTAATGTAACATCGGTTAAAGAGGACAAAGTTGATTTAAAACTTATTGATAAGATTATGAAGACACACACGAAAACATAACATTGAGACATTATTCATCATTCCACTTTCCACCTCACGAGTTTTTGGATTTCTGTGTCAATTATAAGCTTAATGTACTAGCCTTTTGTGTATAGCTTCCAAACACACGAATGACTATGACTGAAGTTAATAACACCGGAAGTTTTTCTGACATATTCAACCAACATGTGCCGATCTGTCAAAATGTCTTGAGACTTTCAAGTATTAACAATAACTATACAGATGAACATTTAGCTATACGCCTAATAATGTTCACACTACTTTCCCAATGTTCCCTTTTGATGACCATAAGCGTTTCTTGTAGAAACTAACCTTTGTAGCAAGGTCACAAAGCCTAGATATATATATATATATAGCTGACCTGAAACATGAGTGAGGTCACCACAGGTCGGCGAGCAAAGCTGAAGCGGCTTGACAGTCGTGTAGGATATACAAGACAAATGTCCGTCCAATCTGTTGAGCAGGAGTTGCTTTCAAAAAGATTGCACGAACAGTACATAACATGTGAGTTGCACGAAACAAATGTAAATTATAAAATAGTTGTTCTGGATTTATTTAGGTTTAAGATGTACAAAAGGTACATAGATCTATCATGATTGTAAAGTAGAGGTCACATCCGAACCACAGGTGCTGGACACACTAATATATAGTGTATATACACATTTTATTAATGTGTCCAGCACCTGTGATCTGAACATGTAACATGTTATAAACGTGTTATATATACGTGTGGTACGTGTCTCAGACAATGATACATCCATTTCTTTAACAAATCAATGTGTCACAGGAGAGGAAATATGCAACAGGGATTCAAACCTTGGACCTCCAAACTCTCAGACAGTCTAGAAACCATCTGATCTATCTGATCATCTGTATTAATCAAGCCTGTCCCCCTACATACCCACCCCAACTCCATCCATTTTCTAAGCCTTCGTCCAAAAAAGAAAACACTAATTATAACTTGGGTTTAGGTATCCTCTCTCTATATGTACAAAGTACTTTTGATTGTAACAGGAAAGGAAAAATGCAGTGGGGCTAGACTGGAATTACAATAACCGGGATCTCCAACCTTAGGCTTAAACAGATGCTCAAACCAAATGAACTTGTCCCAGTTCCCCTGTTGTTTTACATAAGCTTAATCAGTGGTTGCATTTTAGCCTTTTTTTGGTAGCAAAATAATCTTAAAAATGAAAGGGCTTCCAATTATGTTACAGATTCATTTCATATTCTTATGCGGAACCAAAAGACTTCAAATAGTTTTGTTTTAACTGCAGTGAAGCGTCAAATTTTGAAGTACCAGGGCTGTGTGTTAGGATTGTTTCCAGTCATTGGAAAAGATGGAGAACAGGCGAGGGTTGCTCATGTCCGAGACAGCATCTACTGTGCTGTGGCCACATGGGCGCTATCACAGGCGTACAGGTACTGTGTCTGCTCAGTATAACTTAACATCATAGTGAAGCTTTATCGTATTAATAAGTAATATCATATAACCAACAAAGATTTTCATGTTTATTGAAGCCAATCCTTACCTACTACATCTTTCTTTTTCAGTTTGTTAAATAGGAAAATAAAAATGCAAAATAAAATCACGACTTAAATTCTTTTTATCTTGTTTACAGGAAAATTGATGATGATGAAGGGCGTACACATGAGTTGTCCATGTCAGCAGTCAAATGTATGCGAGGAATCCTTTTCTGTTGGATACGACAGGCAGACAAGGTTAGTTATGTGGTCAAGTTTTGGTTTAACGCGTTTGTCTTTGAATAGAGGAATATTTATCCAATTGACATTACATTAAGTTTTAACAAAGCAGTAATAAATATGATATCAATTGACTCCATAAAAGTTTACTAATTGAGATTAATAATATTTGTATAAATCAGTCATAGAGAAGTAACAAATGGTGTTGTTCATTTCACAAAAGAAACCAGTAAAGTCACTTCACAGAGTTAATTTAACAAATGTATTTACTTGTATTAACGTAAAATTATTTGATGAATTCTTAATTTATTTAGCATTTGTTAAAAACACGTTCGTTTCATGACAGAAGAGTTGTTGAGACAAACTAATTCTTGTCAAATTAAGAGTATGCACAGGTTACCGTTAACACATAACAGTTTATGACTTGTGAACTCATGGTAATTGAACAGGTTGAGAAATTCAAGTTAAACCAGAGTTCCGCCTATGCCTTACACTGTGTGTTTGACATAGCGACTGGGGACCCAGTGTACAGTGATGAAGAGTATGGACACCTGCAGGTACAGTCAACATTGTCATAATCTCTCCTAGCTTAATGATAGCCAGATAAACAAGGTCAAACTCTCACCAGCCTACAGATAAACAAGGTCAAACTCTCACCAGACTACCTGAAATCTGATGATTAACGATTTTAAAAACAGGTCTCACTACAAATCAGTGAAGCTAATAGTGGAAATCTAAATCTAGACTCTATTTACTAAATTCTAGTTTTCTCATTTTGGAAATCTGATAATTTCCTGTCTTACATGCTAGATTTTGCTGAGTGTTGTATAGATATTCTTTACAGAACTTAGTTTATCTCTTCCATCAATAAAAATGCATGAGTTAATTATGTAAAGTTTTGTTATACACGTATCAATAATATTGGGATTTCATTATGTTTTTTTTTTCTTTCTGAAGGATAATCATTGTCACGGTTACTTATATTACAAATGTTCTATAGATTTAAACACAAATATATGTATCCTATTAAAAGTAACAGACTTGTACTTGAAATCATAGACGATACTGTACCTTAAAATTTCAGAATTATGGCAAGAGACTTTGACATTTCATAGATTTGATTTTAAATAATGACATGTTTTATACATCCGTTTCTCTTGTTAAACAATGACATGTTTTAACATCCATTTCTCTTGCTTAATATTTATGTTGGTTTTTGTTTGTAGATTGATGTTGTCGGACTATATCTCATTTACTTGGTTCAGATGATCCGCTCAGGATTGAAGGTAAAATTGCCATCATACTCTGGGAATCATAATTCTGGAAAATAAGCATTAATAATAATAATAATTTGAGTTTCTTATATATACCGCTTTATCACAACCTAGTTTGTAGGTCATACAACTGGTTCACCCGTTTTCAGTATAATGTGACCGGGTGGAATGCTGTTTTGGGTGCCTTCGGCATGGTATTTCAGTGAGATAGCACTATAAAGTCGGCATCAGATCCGCTTCTTCACACATGGAGGCACGTCCTTAAATTACCTTAGCTGTTAAAAGAACGTTAAACAAAATTAAACCAAACCAAACCAAGGTTGTCAAGTAATGCTGATTTGGTCTATAAAACAGATAATCCTGAACCCACAACCTTAGTTACAGATCAGGATAAAGCGAATGTCTTTCAGAATTCTTTAGTAATGTATTTACAGCAGGACCAATCCTATATTTTGTTTTCATTATCACGATATCTGACACTGTGATCTATCAGAAAAACATGATGTTGACTGTTACATGTGTCTCATCCTTCTAACATAGCTGTTACCTATAACTCACTTCATACAAAAACATCCCAATTAGTTTGTATTATAATGGTTAAAATGTAAATTAAACTCCAGGTACATTGTGACCTCTCTGAACATTATTTATCTAAATTGACCACTGTTGCTGTTTTCCATGGCAGGTGATCTATACGACCGATGAGGTGAATTTTATACAGAACCTGGTGTTCTACGTTGAGCGTGCGTACCGAACTCCAGACTATGGCATGTGGGAGAGAGGCAGTAAATACAACAACGGCTCCACAGAGGTCCACGCCAGGTACATGCTTAATCATCAGAAACATGTTCTGTACATTAAACACAACTTAACACAAGTTTAGTGTATATTTCATTAATTACTATATATCTATTGACATTAAAAATCCTTAAGTATTGAAAAAAGATAATTAAATTCAACAAATTAAAATAATTATTGTAGTTTTGTATACCAGATAGGTGCACACAAAGTATCACACCTACAAGGCAACGTGTGTAAACTATTAAATGTAGCATTTACTTGGGAATTTTAGTGGTTTAACACACCCACCCGGTCAGACCCATCAACAGCCACTTTATGTCAAAATTCAACCTTAACATATTGTATGATCAAGGTATTAACACATTATCTGAACTATCAAAGAGCCCAAGTATTAGTCTTATGGTCACCCACCCTTCTATTTAAGTTGGTAGCAGACTCCATAGAACCAGCATAATATACTTACTTATATTTTGATCAAAAGGTTTAAGCTTTATTGGATGATTGTCATTTTACTAACATCAGCAAATAATGTCCAAAGTACTAGTAAGGAGATATAAATCCCTGTCAGTTTATCTGTTCCTATATACTGATGTTTTTCAGTTCTATAGGGTTTGCCAAAGCTGCACTGGAAGCAATAAATGGGGAGAACTTGTATGGACCTGAAGGCACTGTCTGGTCCGTTATCTACGTGGATATCGACGCTCACAACAGAAACAGAACAATATTTGAAACCATTCTTCCTCGTGAGTCCAACTCCAAGGTACATGTTACACTTGGTGTATTGCCATGGCTTAAAGATAACAAAGTCATGTTTTTTGGATCAGTATGTATGTCTGTATCTAATCCATCAAATACCAAGACACTGATATAGTAAAGTTTTTGAAGAAGTTTCAATATGAACAGTTTAGCAAGGTTGTTTTAAAAGAAGGTTCTTGTACATAAATAAAAAAAAAACTCTTGACTTCATATCAATGTTAAAGAGAAATTGAAAACAAATATGACTGTTGTGCTATAAAGTTCTATTTTATGAAGCTAAAGTATAGATATGGTCCTGATCCCCTGGTTTTACTGGTTTGTGCCACAGAACACTGACGCCTCCCTCCTCCCTACTGTCAGCTGGCCAGCCTTCGCTATCCACAAGAAGTCTATCAAACACCGTACCATAGACAAGGTTGTACGCAAGCTCAAGGGTGACCATGGCATCAAGCGTTTCCTCAGGGATGGATACCGGACAGTGTTGGAGGACAAAAGTAGGAAACACTACAAACCAGCTGAGATTAAGGTCAGTTATTGGGCAGAATCTGTTAGAGGTCAGTGTTATACAAATGTATTGCCTTATAAGGCTCATGAAGATGATTAAGGTTATATGATGATGAATTCTAAACTTTACATAATGCATCACGTGAATAAACAAAAACTTATGAAATAGTTGTTGTTACTCAGCTGCTAAAGTGTATACATGGATGATTGGTCAAGCTCAGCTACAGGTTACGTTGTTTGATAAATAGCTTTAATTACATTTGAAGTATTTCAGTTATTGTTTGTACATTTGTGCCTTTTTTGTGAAATTTGTTTTATTCAGTGAGATATATTGTTTGTTTACAGTTGTTTGATGGGATAGAGTGTGAATGGCCACTGTTCTTGGTGTATCTGCTGATAGACAGTAAGTAGTACTAACACAGCACTGTAGCTAACAACTTCTCTGGAACAATTGCCACATTTTGATTGAACTCCATGTGAAATAATCTCCATGATTCTAATAAATAGTTTTAACTTTTTAAGTCATGTAGAAAAAAATTCAAAGGTTGAAACTTTTGAATGTTCTCCTGTGGGAGTGACAAGGTCTGTATTTTGTTGAAATAGCTGAAAGAAATTATTAGTATTACATGAGAAACAGTGATGTTGTGTGTAGGATATTTAAGTACCTGTTTGACATGCGACTTTTATCTATCCAGGCATATTTCGCAATGACAAGGAAGGGATTGAGCACTACACAAATCTGATCAGCCCCCTTCTAAGGAAGAGCAATGATGGTAAGTTAAACAAACGACTAGCAGAACTCTGTTAATCACGGCTCCAATGAATCCCCTGAACTTGTTTCATAGGTATTTTTAAGATGATATATCTGTAAGTTTATAGACCTGTAATTTCCCAAATGTTTAAAGATTTTTGAGTGACATTATTAATCAAAGGAAGACTGCTGTTGCTTATGTTCATCGGCTGAGTTTGATTGCAAGATTTGACCTTAGTTGCCATGTCTGCTGCGTTTGTAACAGAGAAACTTAACGTTGGTCTACTTGTATTGCTACAAATGAACACTAGAAAACTGGACTCTTTTGACAAACAACTTTCTAATAATAGAATAGAGTACACTTGGTTATATAACTCATAACAGACCTGGGATACAATCAGCAGAAACTTGGTCAAAGGCTGATCACTGGCTAAATGAATACAATCAGCAGAAACTTGGTCAAGGCTGATCACTGGCTAAATGAATCAACACGAATTTTCATTGCATGTTTTTTGAGATATAACTGAAAAACTTTCTCATCCTCAGATAATCATTTTCAATCCATCTAAATGTACATACAATTTTTACTTTTGAACCGGAGTCTTTTTTAAAAATATACCAGATTAAATTTTTGCATCAAATTGTTAGCTGTCTGATCAGGCAGGCCTTGAACAAGTGGATCTGGTTAGCTTTGAAACACTTTAATAACTTGTTTTACTTATTTTTAAAATTGAGTTTTAACTCATTCACCACTACATATTTAAACTGGACTTTCATTTGATAAGGTTGAAATGTGACTTTAGGGGTGAATAGGTTAAAGTTAAGTTTCTTGCTTGATTCCTTAAAACAGGTGACCTGTTACCCATGTTCTACTTTGTACCAAAGGAACAGATTGAGATGGAGCGTAACATGCGGCCAGGGTCAGCCGAGTGGTACCCTAGTGCCGAGGGATCCACAGACGGCGTGTTTCTGTGGGGACAGTCTGTCTATTTTATATCACAGCTCCTTGGTTTGTATTGATTACAGTAAATCGCCTTATTGTTACTGAGACTTATTTTTTTGTGATTGTTCTTCCAACTTTCAATGTTTGTGAGGATTTAAATTCATTACAGGAACAAACAATATCATATCTTCCAAGGTCAATTTTGTAATATTTGCAGGATATTTGAATTTGTCTCCTTATGAATTAATGCTCTGCTAAGTTTACCCACCATAAAGAATAAATATTTTACAGTGAGTTAAATTAACTACTTGCTGTTGTATTGGTAAGCAAATATTTTGCTATGCAAATTTCAAAGAAACTTTAGTACTTACCTCATTTGAAACTAATCAAAGTTTTCAAAACCAGATAAAAATAGAAAGAATAACAACAAAACTATACATTATTTATTATGCCTGAAAAATGAAAAAGCATTTGCACATTTTTGTTCTATAAGAAATATGTTTTGTATAACACAGTGGAAGGGATCCTGAATGTCATGGAGCTCGACCCAATTCGACGTCATCTGTCCGCCTCAGAAAGACCCAGTAACAGTATGCGATACTCCTCATTCCAGGTAAAGAACTACAGACATTATTTGACGTCATCTCTAGAATACATGCTTTTCAGCAGTGGAAATTTGTGCTATTTGAAGTTAAAAGACTACATACTCAGAAAACATTAATGGGACTCAGATTTACTACAGCTTTCATTTCATCATAGGTAATTCGTACTCATATCAACATCATAAGCACTCAATCCATCCAATCAATTTAAAATTTCAGGTTACTCCCCCAGATCTGGTAGTCCAGGTAGCACTTATAGCAGAAAGTTCAAGGCTGCAGCAGGTGCTTGCTACATATGGAATCCAGACTCAGACCCCTAACCAGATTGAACCCATTAAAATATGGTCTCCTAAGGAGTTGACAAAGGCGTACGAGTACCTGGGCGTCAATAGCAAACTGGGGCTCTCTGGTCGACCAAAACGTCCCTTTGGAGTTCTTAGTACATCAAAGGTAAATGTACAAATCTTTAGCTCACCTGGACCTTTCCTCTGTCATATTGTCAAAAGAGTCAGTCTCACAAAACAGGCTCCAATGTATTGACTGTCAGAAAGAATGTTTTCAAAGACAAGCATAACTGTCTCCAAATCTACTATGTTGTATAATAATGACTAACTTTGTTGGACTCTAGATCTATTATGTTGCATCATAATGACAAACTTTGTTGGACTCTAGATCTACTAGGTTGTATAATAATGACTAACTTTGTTGGACTCTAGATCTACTATGTTGTATAATAATGACTAACTTTGTTGGACTCTAGATCTACTATGTTGTATAATAATGACTAACTTTGTTGGACTCTAGATCTACTATGTTGTATAATAATGACTAACTTTGTTGGACTCTAGATCTACTATGTTGTATAATAATGACTAACTTTGTTGGACTCTAGATCTACTATGTTGTATAATAATGACTAACTTTGTTGGACTCTAGATCTACTATGTTGTATAATAATGACTAACTTTGTTGGACTCTAGATCTACTATGTTGTATAATAATGACTAACTTTGTTGGACTCTAGATCTACTATGTTGTATAATAATGACTAACTTTGTTGGACTCTAGATCTACTATGTTGTATAATAATGACTAACTTTGTTGGACTCTAGATCTACTATGTTGTATAATAATGACTAACTTTGTTGGACTCTAGATCTACTATGTTGTATAATAATGACTAACTTTGTTGGACTCTAGATCTACTATGTTGTATAATAATGACTAACTTTGTTGGACTCTAGATCTACTATGTTGTATAATAATGACTAACTTTGTTGGACTCTAGATCTACTATGTTGTATAATAATGACTAACTTTGTTGGACTCTAGATCTACTATGTTGTATAATAATGACTAACTTTGTTGGACTCTAGATCTACTATGTTGTATAATAATGACTAACTTTGTTGGACTCTAGATCTACTATGTTGTATAATAATGACTAACTTCGTTGGACTCTAGATCTACCGTGTTGTATAATAATGACTAACTTCGTTGGACTCTAGATCTGCTATGTTGTATAATAATGACTAACTTTGTTGGACTCTAGATCTTCTATGTCGTATAATAATGACTAACTTTGTTGGACTCTAGATCTTCTATGTTGTATAATAATAACTAACTTTGTTGGACTCTAGATCTTCTATGTTGTATAGTAATGACTAACTTTGTTGGACTCTAGATCTTCTATGTTGTACAATAATGACTAACTTTGTTGGACTCTAGATCTTCTATGTTGTATAGTAATGACTAACTTTGTTGGACTCTAGATCTTCTATGTTGTATAGTAATGACTAACTTTGTTGGACTCTAGATCTTCTATGTCGTATAATAATGACTAACTTTGTTGGACTCTAGATCTACCGTGTTGGGGGACAGACCGTGCTGTGCTATCCTCTCCTGTTTGAGGTCAGCGATTTCTACATGGCTCAAGACATGTCCATTGTATTAGATGACCTGAAGGTAAGTGACTCTGCTGGACTCCTGTAACATAGGCTGTTAGTATTGTTGGTCAATTCGTTTGGAAGCTGTTTCTGGGGATAGATATCTGGGCAAACCAAGAAAAAGCAGACCTTAAAAGGTTAAGCTGATGTCCTGGTATAAATTTAACCAGACCACCAAATCAGCCCAAAACAGCAAAAAGTCTTTATAAACAAACCTCACCAGGGCTAGGATATGAGTTCATTATAAACATAATTCATTTTTGAGTTTGATGTCAATTAGACAAATCTTTGCCGGGGAACACTGTGTTATATAAGCTAGGATTTGTTATAAGCATGTAGGACATGGCTAGATATGTGTCTTGTACTTAGGCAGAAATAGACACCAACAACAGAAAGAAGAATACAGTGATCACATACAAACAGTTAATCAGTACTTCTATGCCTTTCTGAGTTGTGTGTGTTGTATGTGCTCTGTGTAACTAACTGTTTTTGTTATCACCTGTAACACTACCAGAAGGTAAGTGTAAAGCTGGTATCGTTACTCATGTATCCTGTGGCCACAGTAGCTCATTAGCTTGTTTATATTAGGATCTACCAATCATTATAAGTGATACCTCCCTGTCTTTTGCTTTACAGTAAGACTCCCAGGACATTGTACAGGTGTACATGATATATTTGAACTGTTTGATACAGCCCCAGCTAACTGAGACCTGGTGGAGTAGAGATGGCATTGTCTCTGTAGTTGGGGATTAAAGATGACTGAACTATATTATTTATTATGTCTCGATCCCCTTCAAGTGAAGGGAGACATTGTATATGTACTGGTTCTAATTCTTGTTTTATTTGATCGCCCAATTAAATGCTTATGCATTTGTGTATCATGTGATAAGATACACAAATGTGTAAACACCGTAGGAGTTTTTACAGTGTACGGTAGTGTAAATATTCACATTGCATCAAAGGGAACTAATGGGAATTTGAATTTAATAGTCCATGTGTGTCTCTTAATCAGCTGTCTACAATAGACAAGGGACTTTGACTCTATGGTGACTCTATGGTGACTCTATGGTGACTCTATGGTGACTCTAAGGGGACTCTATGGGGACTCCATGGGGACTCTATGGTGACCATGGGGACTCTATGGGGACTCTATGGGGACTCAACGGGGACTCTATGGGGTCTCTATGGGGTCTCTATGGGGACTCTGGGGACTCTATTGGGTCTCTATGGGGTCTCTATGGGGACTCTATGGGGACTTTGGGGACTCTATGGGGTCTATGGCGACTATGGGGTCTTTATGGTGATTCTATGGTGACTCTAAGGGGACTCTATGGTGACTATGGGGACTCTATGGGAACTCTATGGTGACTATGGGGACTCTATGGGGTCTCTATAGGGATTCTATGGGGACTATATGGGGATTCTATGGGGTCTCTATGGCGACTCTATGGTGACTCTATATAAACAGGTCAATAAGCTACAGCCACAGCTACCCAGCACCACTGTATCAATATCTGTAGTCTGTAAACATGTACGCCTGAGTATGTATACCGCCATATTGTATAAACCTTGTTTGCTTTTATTGAGACAGTTGGGAGACAGTTGGTTAATATGGAGGATTTTTTCATACCCCTTTCATACCCCCTTTTTTTTTGGGGGGGGGGGGCACATCCGTATGTAACTGGTAGTGTAGTAAAAAGCTTGTGTACAAGAAATCCCATCTCACAACAAATCATTCGGTCAAGGTAAAATGGTCAGAAGTCATACTGGACCATTTTTGGATTAAAATGTGTGTGTTGAATCTATGTCACAGATTTATATCTACAACATTATATTGTTACATCAAGTTTACCACCTGATTACACTTTGGTGGTCATTGTTCAAGGTTAAGACAGAAGGTCACATTTGACCACTTTTGAACCCCTCAACAGGTTTAGTTTATCTCTACACTGGGTTAGGTTATTTTAACTGTTTGTCCAAATTTGGCTCATTTATTAGAGTGTATGTTGTCAAAAATACGATTTTGCCAGGATGCAGAGTAAACCGGTACGCTCTCTAACAGACTGGTGTGCATGTGAGGGGTATTATCATTCCTGATGCCTTGTTGTTGTTAGTTTTGTGGTCTGATAAAACCCTGTATGCATGTTACTTCTGTGTCAAGTCACCAATCTTCATTGTCCCTTGGTTATATCCCCATACTCATACTGAACTTTTTATATGTCCATGGGGAGTATATTACATGAACAACCACAAACTCCTCATACAAGACAAGAAACATATGTCGTAAATGTGTAACATGAAACATTAGCTCTGAAGAGCTGTTCTTAAGACAGAAAATGGTATAAGACAACTGACTAACTACAACATTGTATACAAGTCATCATCTTGAGCATAAGAAATGCAGTTTAGTTCTGTCATGTATTCATTCTGAAATAATATCGTTTGTCATTAAACAAGTATATTTACACATTTGTTTTGACACCATATAGGATTGCCTTTACTATTTTTGCACTTTAGCCAATTGATTTTGAGTTCGGGCACGCTTCACATATTCAGCATTGAACATTTATAATGTAGTATACTTATGTCTACAGAGACCATTAACTTGATATTAGGAGAGGAGCGGTCTCACAAGACAGGTTCTACTGTACTGACAGAAGGGGTGGTCTCACAAGACAGGTTCTACTGACAAAAGGGGTGGTCTCACAAGACAGGTTCTACTGACAGAAGGGGTGGTCTCACAAGATAGGTTCTACTGACAGAAGGGGTGGTCTAACAAGACAGGTTCTACTGACAGAAGGGGTGGTCTCACAAGACAGGTTCTACTGTACTGACAGAAGGGGTGGTTCACAAGACAGGTTCTACTGACAGAAGGGTGGTCTCACAAGTCAGGTTCTACTGTAGTGACAGAAGGGATGGTCTCACAAGACAGGTTCTACTGTAGTGACAGAAGGGATGGTCTCACAAGACAGGTTCTACTGTTGTGACAGAAGGGGTGGTCTCACAAGACAGGTTCTACTGTAGTGACAGAAGGGATGGTCTCACAAGACAGGTTCTACTGTAGTGACAGAAGGGATGGTCTCACAAGACAGGTTCTACTGTAGTGACAGTAGGGATGGTCTCACAAGACAGGTCTTGGGCAACAGTTCCCAAGGTCTTCCCTGCTACCTCGGGTCAAATATTTGACTGTTCCCCCAGTACCAATGAAACAATTGTATACTGTTGTGACAGAAGGGACAGGTTCTACTGTAGTGACAGAAGGGGAGGTATCACAAGACAGGTTCTACTGTAATGACAGAAGGGATGGTCTCACAAGTCAGGTTCTATTGTAGTGACAGAAGGGATGGTCTAACAAGACAAGTTCTACTGTTGTGACAGAAGGGATGGTCTCACAAGACAGGTTCTACTGTAGTGTCAGTAGGGGGTAGTCTCACAAGACAGGATCTACTGTTGTGACAGAAGGGATGGTCTCACAAGACAGGTTCTATTGTAGTGACAGAAGGGATGGTCTCACAAGACAGGTTCTACTGTAGTGACAGTAGGGATGGTCTCACAAGACAGGTTCTACTGTTGTGACAGAAGGGATGGTCTCACAAGACAGGTTCTACTGTTGTGACAGAAGGGATGGTCTCACAAGACAGGTCTACTGTAGTGACCAAAGGGGTGGTCTCACAAGACAGGTTCTACTGTTGTGACAGAAGGGATGGTCTCACAAGACAGGTTCTACTGTTGTGACAGAAGGGATGGTCTCACAAGTCATGTTCTATTGTAGTGACAGAAGGGATGGTCTAACAAGTCAGGTTCTACTGTAGTGACAGAAGGGATGGTCTCACAAGACCATCATTTTTGTTTTTCATTGGTCAAGTAACAAAACAGTTGTTTCATGCCTTATCAGTCAACAGTCAAAACCATTTTCCCTCAGAGTTGGGACCCACCAGATGGACTGTTTGCCTGCGGCCTCGGGGAAACAGTTCATCTGGGGGGCCCCAACTCTGAGGGAAAATAGTTTTGTATAGTGACAGAAGAGGCAGTCTCACAATACAGGTCTACTGTAGTGACAGGAGGGGTGGTCTCAAAGACAATATTTACTTGTTGATTATTGAGGGATATACTTCCATAATTAATCTTCAATCTGGTACATATGATATAATCAATATGTCCTTAATGCACTTACATGAAAATGTATAAAGATCAAATGTTTAATGACTTATTATCTTTTTGAAAATTTCGTATTCTGATAGCAATTTTTACTGTAGATTTTGTATGCTATCTGTTACTTATCTCTTAGATTTTACATGGTAATCTCCTGTGGTTCGTTTTTTTGGTATAACTCAAAAACCAATTGATACCTTCAATGAAGGTATGACAAGATACCGAGGGATAAGATGTATTCCTAATTAGAGGCTTGCCAAGAGTTTGAAGAATCTTAATCTGAGGGGTTTGATTTCTTAGGTGTAGACTCAAGGTAAGGAATGACTTTTATAATATAATTTATATTGCTCTCACCCTTTAACTCTGTTTATACTGAAGAGTCAAATCTGTAAGATGGGAGACATAGTTCATCGATCTTAGTTACCATGGCAACTATATGTTTGCAGAATGATCTGGCTTTCCTATCCCAGTGTTGGAAGTTGTATGGCCGTCCTACCTTCTGTATGATTCTGCGAGAAAATAACATCAGGTAAGGTCCAAAAAAAGTTGCTAGAGGTAAAGTATATATATCGTCACAGGTAAGGGAAACTTGAAGGACACCTTAGTAAAATAAGTAAAATCTTCCAATAAATTCATAGGATTTAGAAAAAATCAAAATTGTAATGGTATATATAGCCTATTTTAATAAGTTTGACCTTGACCCACTTTGAAGGTCACAGATGTGAGATAACAGGTGAGCTATACAGGACCATTGGGGCCTCTTGTTTTCTGTCATTTGGTCTATGACTAATAAAGTGTATTCTGATACACAGCTATAATCCCACTTCTCATCAAATCTACCAGTATCCCAGTTTCTCATAATGAACAAGCTTTCTGCACCTGTACAAACACTGACACTAGATCCAAACAGTTTTTAGATTTAGTTTCTCAAAATCAGATTAAGTTTTCCGATTTAAGTTAAAGGTGAAATTTCCTTCGATGTCATATGAAACAATGAATTATCTATGTACTCCTGAAATCCTAGCCAGATATCTCCTGAAACCCTGGCCAGATATCTCCTGAAATCCTGGCCAGATATCTCCTGAAATCCTGGCCAGATATCTCCTGAAATCCTGGCCAGATATCTCCTGAAATCCTGGCCAGATATCTCCTGAAATCCTGGCCAGATATCTCCTGAAATCCTGGCCAGATATCTCCTGAAATCCTGGCCAGATATCTCCTGAAATCCTGGCCAGATATCTCCTGAAATCCTGGCCAGATATCTCCTGAAATCCTGGCCAGATATCTCCTGAAATCCTGGCCAGATATCTCCTGAAATCCTGGCCAGATATCTCCTGAAATCCTGGCCAGATATCTCCTGAAATCCTGGCCAGATATCTCCTGAAATCCTGGCCAGATATCTCCTGAAATCCTGGCCAGATATCTCCTGAAATCCTGGCCAGATATCTCCTGAAATCCTGGCCAGATATCTCCTGAAAGAATGTATATTACTCCTGAAATCCTGGCCAGATATCTAGCTTCTTGACATTTTTATTATTAAGAATGATATTGTAAAGTATATCAAAACCACAATTTCAACTACTGGGTGTTTCTTTATGATTTATTAGGAAGGCGAGCGTTTTAATATCCTGCATTTGAAAATTGAGTGTCGCTACAATGTTAAATGCATAACTGATGTTTACATCTATTTAACAGTTAAATGTTGCTTTCTATTTTTATCAACCATGACACTTGCCACAAAGTCCTTATATTGTCAGCTGATTCATTGTTTATTTGTAACTCACCACCACAGGGGTCAAAACTTTGGCGAGTTTCTAGACCTGTTAGCCCAGTTTAAACGTGGACAAGTGGACAATATACGGGTACGCCTCGGGAAATTACAGGTAACTTTTAATTACGATTCATTTTATGGCACAGCTCCTGGCTATGTAAGACTATTAGTGATACAAACATTCTCCCAGGCTGTGATGATGTCACAGTCAATTAAAAGTTTGTCTGTCCTCTGGAATGCACCCTTTGGTGATATTGAACTTTGACCTTTGTGTTATTGAACTCCAACCCGATCTATGTTGAAAGCATTGTTAGCTTCTTATCATTTATTCATCTCATTGTTTTCTGCAGGCTACACTAAATTTCTAAAACTTTAAGACATATTTTGAGTTTAAAACTCCCATACTTTTGAAGGTCTTCAGAGTAAAAAAGATTTATTCAAACTGTGAAATAGTTGGTGACTGCATGAGTTGACTTCAGCAGTATCTATGTCATCTGTTGCTACAAATAACATGGAAAGAAACCCTTGTTATTCAGTAACTGACATGCTTTTGAGTGTTGATATCACTTTTATTTGGGAAGAAGGCTGGGGTAGGGGTAGTAGGAGATTCTGTTCACATTCCATTACATTAGACCGATAATCCAGGGGCCTCTTGTTTTATTTAGGAAGAAGGCTGGGGTAGGGGTAGTAGGAGATTAGAATTAGTCTGTTCACATTCCATTACATTAGACCAATAATCCAGGGTGTCTCTTGTTTTATTTAGGAAGAAGGCTGGGGTAGGGGTAGTAGGAGATTAGAATTAGTCTGTTCACATACCATTACATTAGACCAATAATCCAGGGGCCTCCTGTTTTATTTAGGAAGAAGGCTGGGGTAGGAGTAGTAGGAGATTCTGTTCACATTCCATTACATTAGACGAATAATCCAGGGGCCTCTTGTTTTATTTTGGAAGAAGGCTGGGGTAGGGGAAGTAGGAGATTCTGTTCACATTCCATTACATTAGACGGATAATCCAGGGGCCTCTTGTTTTATTTTGGAAGAAGGCTGGGGTAGGGGTAGTAGTAGATTAGAATTAGTCTGTTCACATTCCATTACATTAGACCAATAATCCAGGGGCCTCTTGTTTTATTTGGGAAGAAGGCTGGAGTAGGGGTAGTAGGAGATTAGAATTAGTCTGTTCACATTCCATTACATAAGACCAATAGATCTGCTGTCTCAATAGATATTTAAGGCTATAGCGAACTTGTAATGGTGTATGTTTTGATGCTCTTTTCACTTGTACTCTACTACTGTGTTTCCAGGGTGTCTCTTTGACACCTTTCGTCCTATAATCTGTTTTGTTGGTCTGTTCTATAGAAATCCTGTCAAGGGTATCTTTCACATCTGTCTTCATATGACTTAACTTTGAACTCTAAACAAACCAATACAATGTAATAGCTATTTATATAAGTTTTTATAAAAATAATATAGAAATGGATAACATGTCAAATAGTATAGTTGTAGACATACAACCTATCAGACTTGATTGTACTGCTGTAAAAATAAAAATTCATAAAAAAATTCTGTTACAATTTCAGTCCCTCATCTCAGCTGCGACGGTAGAACACCTGGACTTCCTGTCCAATCTCCCTGACCCTCTGAAGTTCTGTGCATTTGAAGGGAAAGCGATCATTTCCAGCTTCCGAAGCCTCACAGACATCCCAAAACTTCCGCAGCTAAATGATGCTGACATCAACATGTCCGATACTGTATGTAGTAGTTCTGGGGACACAAATGTCTGCCTCCAATACTGTATGTGTAATAGTTCTGGGGACACAAATGTCTCCCTCCGATACTGTATGTAGTAGTTCTGGGGATACAAATGTCTCCCTCCAATACTGTATGTAGTAGTTCTGGGGACACAAATGTCTGCCTCCAATACTGTATGTGTAATAGTTCTGGGGACACAAATGTCTCCCTCTGATACTGTATGTAGTAGTTCTGGACACAAATGTCTCCCTCTGATACTGTATGTAGTAGTTCTCGGGACACAAATGTCTCCCTCCGATACTGTATATAGTAGTTCTGGGGACACAAATGTCTCCCTCCGATACTGTATGTAGTAGTTCTGGACACAAATGTCTCCCTCTGATACTGTATGTAGTAGTTCTGGGGATACAAATGTCTCCCTCCAATACTGTATGTAGTTCTGGGGACACAAATGTCCCCCTCCGATACTGTATGTAGTAGTTCTGGGGCCACAAATGTCTCCCTCCGATACTGTATGTAGTAGTTCTGGGGATACAAATGTCTCCCTCCAATACTGTATGTAGTAGTTCGTGGGACACAAATGTCTCCCTCCGATACTGTATGTAGTAGTTCTGAGGACACAAATGTCTCCCTCCGATACTGTATGTAGTTCTGGAGACACAAACGTCTTAAATCTTAACATGATATCTATATAAAGCTGTGTATGTGTAAGAGATTTGTTCAGAATTAACTTCCATCTTGATCAGCTGATGTAATATTCCTTTCATCACAACGGAGATAAAAATAAATAAGGATTTTCTTCCCCCTTTTACTTTATCAATTTGTGTTTTTTAAACAACTGTTGACCTTCTTTTAGACTTTTACTACATTAGAATAATTTCACTGATACAATGCTTACTCTGTGATGCATTAAGAATTTTGTTGATGACCATCACCTCATGTTGAAGGATCTGAGCCACAAGGCAACGTGGGACCTGGTTCAGATGCTCAACCACTACGAGGGTATGGCAGCCCAGTGTCGGCTCATGAAGGTTCTGTACCAGCGGGAGGGACCTCAGTTCAAGATCGACAACCAACCAATTGCAGCCTGCATGGAAAAACTCATCAGCCAGGCCAGTCTGTACAAGAAGTGGTCAGTGGTCAGAATGATGGCTGCTCTCCTAGGCAAAATAGTAGATAGTCTTGCTCCATCTATTACCACCATTCTGGTCAGGGGCAAACAGGTAACCATGGCAACTTATAAAGGTCAAATTGTAACACTATCAAGGTCACCTTGGTTAAATCAAAGGATTATAAACTGATGTGTAGGAACCTATTGTCAAGGTCAAAGTGTAGATGTATCCGTGACGACTTATCTAGGTAAAACTGTAGTGTCACTACATGACAATTTATTTTAGTCAAACTCTTATCTTGAGCAAAATGTAGGAATGTATTTGACTCCGGAAGTAAAGTACAGAATGTTTTCCCGTTTCAACTTGATATCCTAGAACTACAATGTATTTTACATTTCTGTGTAATACATTCAAAGGTTTTTAGGTCATCTGACCCAAAGGGTCAGGATGACCTATAGTCATCGTGCTTCGTCCGTCGTCATTTGCCGTGCGCCCTCCGTAAACTTTTCACATTTTAAACTTCTTCTCAACTTCCACCAGTGGGATTGAGGTCAAACTTGCCTGAAATGATCCTGAGATGGTCCTGACCAGGTGTTGTTATTTTTCGGGTTGGTCTGAAATCCAAGATGGTCGCCATCTTGAAAAACACTTTTTAAACTTCTTCTCCAGTTCCACTGGTGTCATTGAGATAAAAATTGGTGGGGTTGTTTCGGGGCCTCAAAAGTGAAACTTTGTTATAAATGCTTTAAAATGCTGCTCGTCCTTAATGCCTTAATAGATGTTGCAACCAGTTACAACAATTTCAGTATGAAACATCATTTAGACACAATCATTTCTTATATTAATGAGGCAGGTTTAACCACCGTTGACAGCGGGACGGGGCCTTAAAAGGAGAAATCTATTCAGATAAGTCTAGGTGGATGCTGCATGGCATGTCACAGATGTATGTTTAATTGCCCCGGTGGTACTCCAGTCTTGATATAACTTTATTAATGTAAAACTTATCTAAATGATTTAACATACATAGAAACTACAGAGGTAGCTATATGTATAGTTCAGTCTGGTACCGGTATTAAATGTGACCTTGACGCATGAAGTGAAGTCACAAAGTTTACCGATCTGAGATCAGGTTCATATTCAAGAAAGAAAAACAAAGATCAGCTGTATGGTCAGAAGGTCATAAATGAGTAAAAACAGGCGACAAGAGACAAAGTGGCTTTAGTCCCTCTAATGACCTCTTGATGTTAGTTAATGACATAATCTTTACTCCAGTTTTGATGAGATGTACTGATGCATTGACAATCAGTTAAAGAGTGTGGACACAAGTATTGATGACACATCAATTTGTGTGTACACAGATAACAGTGGGTGTATACGGCCATGAGGAGGAGGTACTAGACAAACCGATCAGTCCAAACGAGCTGAAGAATATCCTGTACTCCATCTGTCTGCCACACGACATCCAGCAGGCGGTCATACAGCAGGAACTTATCCTCTGTATCGGCAAACTCATCGTCACACAGCCAGAACTCTTCGAGGGTATCCTCAAGATCAGGATTGGGTAGGTCTGTCACCTGTCCCAGTACCCTTGGCCAAATCTAATAATACACTGGTTTTATCCATTTGAAACAAAGTCTGCTTGAAGGTAATGGGTGAATCAGGAAACCCCAAACTAGTTTTTTAATGGTTTGGTGTATATAGACTGAGTTTAATTATCCTCTACCCTACTGAAAAAAATCCAATTTATTTCTTTATACTGGGAAAATAAAGCACTTTTTTGCTATGGGGAGCATCCTGTATTTGGTTGTTAGACTAAGCAAAAAAAGTCACTGAAATCTAACAAATACAATTGGTTATATTTATGCCCAAAGATTTTTATTGGTTCTAATTAGAATGTATCATGTATCCTGGTAGCATGATGTCTTTTATTAATTAAACGTCACAGACTTATAACTCTGTTGCTACCAAATGTAGGTGGTTCGTGCGTGCGATGCAGATAGAACTAGAAGCTGAACAATTGGATATCTACTCAATGTCGCCTAGCAACTTCAAACAGAAGCTTTACTCTCTCCTCACCTGTAATGAAAACGAGGATCACCTCCGTACCCCACTCCAGCGACGACAGCTTGGTGGGGCCCTCAACAAAGTCCCAAAAGACTTCTATGATCGTGTGTGGCAGATCCTTGAAAATACTCCAGGTGGCATCAAAGTGGCAGGGTACCATTTACCCCAGGTAAGGTGGCATCAATGTTACACAGTTTACCCTAGGTATAGGATGGCGACAGACCATCATTTACCACAGGTAATGTGGCATCACGAGAACAACATTTACCTCAGGTAAGGCGGCATCAAGGTTACACCATTTCCCACAGGTAAGGTGGCATCAAGGTTACACCATTTACCACAGGTAAGGTGGCATCAATGTTACCCCGTTAACCCTAGGTATAGTAAGGCGGCATCAAGGTTACACCATTTCCCACAGTGGCATCAAGGTTACACCATTTACCACAGGTAAGGTGGCATCAATGTTACACCGTTTACCCTAGGAATAGGATGGCAACAGACCATCATTTACCACAGGTAAGGTGGCATCAATGTACCATCGTTTACCCTAGGTATAGGATGGCAACAGACCATCATTTACCTCAGGTAAGGTGGCATCAATGTTACACCGTTTACCCTAGGTATAGGATGACAACACACCATCATTTACCACAGGTAAGGTGGCATCAACGTTACACCGTTTACCCTAGGTATAGGATGGCAACAGACCCTGTTGCCATCCTATACCTAGGGTAAACGGTGCAACATTGATGCCACCTTACCTGTGGTAAATGATGGTGTGTTGCCATCCTATACCTAGGGTAAACGTTGTAACATTGATGCCACCTTACCTGAGGTAAATGATGGTCTGTTGCCATCCTATACCTAGGTTAAACGGTGTAACATTGATGCCACCTTACCTGTAGTAAATGATGGTCTGTTGCCATCCTATACCTACGGTAAACGGTGTAACATTGATGCCACCTTACCTGAGGTATAGGATGGCAACAGACCATCATTTACCATAGGTAAGGTGGCATCAATGTTACACCGTTTACTCTAGGTATAGGATTGCAACAGACCATCATTTACCACAGGTAAGGTGGCATCACGATAACAACATTTACCTCAGGTAAGGTGGCATCAAGGTTACACCATTTACCACAGGTAAGGTGGCATCAATGTTACACCGTTTACTCTAGGTATAGGATGGCAACAGACCATCATTTACCACAGGTACGGTGGCATCAATGTTACACCGTTTAACCTAGGTATAGGATGGCAACAGACCATCATTTACCAGAGGTAAGGTTGCATCAATGTTACACCGTTTACCCTAGGTATAGGATGGCAACAGACAATCATTTACCACAGGTAAGGTGGTATCAATGTTACACCGTTTACACTCGGTATAGGATGGCAACAGACTATAATTTACCAGAGGTAAGGTTGCAACAATGTTACACCGTTTACCCTCGGTATAGGATGGCAACAGACAATCATTTACCACAGGTAAGGTGACATCAATGTTACACAGTTTACCCTAGGTATAGGAGGGCAACAGACCATCATTTACCATAGGTAAGGTTGCATCAATGTTACACCTTTTACCCTAGGTATAGGATGGAAACAGACCATCATTTACCAGAGGTAAGGTTGCAACAATGTTACACCGTTTACCCTAGGTATAGGAGGGCAACAGACCATCATTTACCACAGGTAAGGTGGCATCAATGTTACACTGTTGACCCTAGGTATAGGATGGCAACAGACCATCATTTACCACAGGTAAGGTGACATCAATGTTACACCGTTTCCCCTAGGTATAGGATGACAACAGACCATCATTTACCTCAGGTAAGGTGGCATCAATGTTACACCATTTACCACAGTTAAGGTGGCATCAATGTTACACCGTTTACCCTAGGATGGCAACAAACCATCATTTACCTCAGGTAAGGTGGCATCATGGTAACAAAATACCTTTTACTCGAGGTGGGGTGGCATCACAATAACAACATTTACCACAGGTAAGGTTGCATCATGGTAACAAAATTCTATTTATTACAGGAAGGGTGGCATTATATTTACAGAACTCTATTTATCACAGAATCATGTTAAGGTAACATGCTTTACCATAGATAGGGTGACATCAAGGTAACAGCACCATTTACCACGGTATGGAGGCACAGTAGTCTAGTGGTAGGACGCCAGGCTTGTGATCGAATGGTTGCAGGTTTGAGTCACGTCATCGCACTGTGTTGTATCTTTGAGCAAGATACTTTAGGCTTGTTCCAGTCTACTCAGCTGTAAATGAGTACACTGCTTGGGCAGTGCTAGAATTTGAGAATGCTTGCTGTGAGTGCCGAAATGGCAGCACCAGCTGTATGCTCCCCAGGGAGTTGAGAAAGGTACTGGCCAGTTGCAAAGGCCCTATAATGATGATAATTTGTGAACCGCTTTGAGACGACCTACAAACTGGTTTGTAATAAAGCGGTATATAAAAACCTTGAATTATTATTATGATGGCCTAACCATTAAACACAGTTTTTATTGAGGATAGCTTGTAGTACTTTATATAGCACATGAAGGGTAGAGTATGATAACAGCTAATATTGTCATTTAACACAGGTGAAAACAGACAGCTAATACTGTCATTTAACACAGGTGAAAACAGACAGCCAATATTGTCATTTAACACAGGTGAAAACAGACAGCTGATATTGTCATTTAACACAGGTGAAAACAGACAGCTAATATTGTACTGTCATTTAACACAGATGAAAACAGACAGCTAATACTGTCATTTAACACAGGTGAAAACAGACAACTAATACTGTCATTTAACACAGGTGAAAACAGACAGCTAATATCGTCATTTAACACAGGTGAAAACAGACAGCTAATATTTTCATTTAACACAGGTGAAAACAGACAGCTAATATTTTCATTTAACACAGGTGAAAACAGACAGCTAATATTTTCATTTAACACAGGTGAAAACAGACAGCTAATATCGTCATTTAACACAGGTGAAAACAGACAGCTAATATTTTCATTTAACACAGGTGAAAACAGACAGCTAATACTGTCATTTAACCCAGGTGAAAACAGACAGCTAATATTGTCATTTAACCCAGGTGAAAACAGACAGCTGATATTGTCATTTAACACAGGTGAAAACAGACAGCTAATATTTTCATTTAACACAGGTGAAAACAGACAGCTAATATTTTCATTTAACACAGGTGAAAACAGACAGCTAATACTGTACTGTCATTTAACACAGGTGAAAACAGACAGCCAATATTGTCATTTAACACAGGTGAAAACAGACAGCGAATATTGTCATTTAACACAGGTGAAAACAGACAGCTTATATTGTCATTTAACATAGGTGAAAACAGACAGCTAATATTGTCATTTAACACAGGTGAAAACAGACAACTAATACTGTCATTTAACACAGGTGAAAACAGACAGCTAATATTTTCATTTAACACAGGTGAAAACAGACAGCTAATATTTTCATTTAACACAGGTGAAAACAGACAGCTAATATTTTCATTTAACACAGGTGAAAACAGACAGCTAATATTTTCATTTAACACAGGTGAAAACAGACAGCTAATACTGTCATTTAACTCAGGTGAAAACAGACAGCTAATACTGTCATTTAACTCAGGTGAAAACAGACAGCTAATACTGTCATTTAACTCAGGTGAAAACAGACAGCTAATACTGTCATTTAACTCAGGTGAAAACAGACAGCTAATACTGTCATTTAACACAGGTGAAAAACAGAAAATGTGTTATGGTACACATTGGTGATCAAGTGTCGAATAAAAAGTCAATGATTCACAAAAAGAAGGTGAAAATAAAATTCCCGTTTCCATATAGATCTAACTGAAATGATAGTTCGGTACAGGATAATGACATTTTTGTACTGTGTCTGATGTTGGAAGGGAAGTAATTAGGTTTTTAAGCGTGACTGATGATATTTCCTTGTTCTAGCACCCCACCCTGTCTGACATGACAATGTATGAGCTGAACTTTTCCCTGTTGGTGGAACAGATGCTGAGTAAGATTGTGGACCCGTCCTACCGACAGATCATGGTCGAGGTACGTTTGTATGAGGCATGTGGAAGGATTATTACCATGTTTAACTGTACATGTGATTAAGCCGGATCCATATTTTAATTGATTTTGTATGCAAGACCATTTCTGGTTAGGTGATTCAATAATTTGTTAGCAACAAGTACCCGTTATACTCCCCGTGTGAGGACTAGTGTCGGGTGGCAGTGTTTTGTAGTGCCTAGAATGAGTTATTCTCCATACATGTAATGATCCACAGTATATTTTCTGTGTGGAAATCTGCTTGTTTTGACTTCAAATTGTTTGCTGCGTAGAAAGTTTCACTTTCAATATGTCTTTAATAGTGTGTCAATATCTAAATCATACCCAGTGTATATAAAGTCAGTGTGTCAATATCTAAATCATACCCAGTGTATATAAAGTCAGTGTGTCAATATCTAAATCATACCCAGTGTATATAAAGTCAGTGTGTCAATATCTAAATCATACCCAGTTTTATACTGAATAAAAGTGGTATGACTCAGTTATCAAAGAGTGAGTGCACCAGATAGGTGGAATGGGTTGTAGCTATGGTGAGTGTTTGTTTAGTTAACTTTATTACCTTCACATACTTGTGACATTCAATATCTATCTCATTCTACACAATATCAGATCTCATTTATCAACTTTTCATGCACCTTCCATGATTGCAATGTGTAAGTTTAAATTCAACTAAATATATTATTGAATTGAAAGTAAAAAGGCAATTAAATAATCAGTCATTGCTATAAAGAGATCAATTGTAGCAGTTTAAATGACCACCAAAAGTAGCTTGTATCATTACCAAATACAGTCAGTCAAGTGAAGAAATTGTTTTGTTAGGGGAAATAATCCATTCTGATGTTTTAAATAGTTTTGTAAGGGGAGATAATCCATTCTAATATTTTAAATAGTTGTGTAAGGGAAGATAATCCATTCTGATGTTTCAGACATTTGTTGTGGTGTCAACAATGCTGAACAGAAATCCAGAGGTGACATTTGAACAGTCAGTCAACATGGATAAGGTGGGTAAATGTAGTATTCTGTCTTTGATTCCTTTCTCTTTTCATATCAAAGATGACCCAAGATTGATATTGTATGTACCAATGATTGATAGCAGAATTTTGATAGCTGAACTATATTGATACAATGTGAAAACTTACAGGTCTGAATTAAAATTCATGGCATAGTTTGAATGAATAGGCTCATTTAAAATATGAGAATGTGAAATAGAGTTTGATTGAAGATAATCCATGACGTTTTATAATAGATAAACTATGCGATGATTAAAGATATCGTCCATCATTCTCTATCACAGATAATCAATGTTTTATAATAGATAAACAATATGATGATTAAAGATATCATCCATCATTCTCTATCACAGATAATCCATGTTTTATAATAGATAAACTATATGATGATTAAAGATATTGTCCATCATTCTCTATCACAGATAATCCATGTTTTATAATAGATAAACTATATGATGATTAAAGATATCGTCCATCATTCTCTATCACAGATAATCCATGTTTTATAATAGATAAACTATATGATGATTAAAGATATCGTCCATCATTCTCTATCACAGATAATCCATGTTTTATAATAGATAAACTATATGATGATTAAAGATATCGTCCATCATTCTCTATCACAGATAATCCATGTTTTATAATAGATAAACTATATGATGATTAAAGATATCGTCCATCATTCTCTATCACAGATAATCCATGTTTTATAATAGATAAACTATATGATGATTAAAGATATCGTCCATCATTCTCTATCACAGATAATCCATGTTTTATAATAGATAAACTATATGATGATTAAAGATATCGTCCATCATTCTCTATCACAGATAATCCATGTTTTATAATAGATAAACTATATGATGATTAAAGATATCGTCCATCATTCTCTATCACAGATAATCCATGTTTTATAATAGATAAACTATATGATGATTAAAGATATCGTCCATCATTCTCTATCACAGATAATCCATGTTTTATAATAGATAAACTATATGATGATTAAAGATATCGTCCATCATTCTCTATCACAGATAATCCATGTTTTATAATAGATAAACTATATGATGATTAAAGATATCGTCCATCATTCTCTATCACAGATAATCCATGTTTTATAATAGATATACTATATGATGATTAAAGATATCGTCCATCATTCTCTATCACAGATAATCCATGTTTTATAATAAATAAACTATATGATGATTAAAGATATCGTCCATTATTCTCTATCACAGATAATCCATGTTTTATAATAGATAAACTATATGATGATTAAAGATATCATCCATCATTCTCTATCACAGATAATCCATGTTTTATAATAGATAAACTATATGATGATTAAAGATATCGTCCATCATTCTCTATCACAGATAATCCATGATGCTTTTGAGGAGTACCAGCGAGACCAGGGTAGGCACGAGGGCCAGGAGAAGATGGATGAAATGAGAAATTTCTTCAACACACCTCCCAACATCCGCAGAGGCACAACCAGCTACATCACAAAAGCTGTCATACGCAACCTCCTTGAGGGAGACGTCAAGTTTGTTGGAGACGACTTTTGCTGCATCACCTGATCAAAGTCATTTATTGAAGTACAAGGTCAAAGTCATCACTTGATGTCATGGTCAAGGTCAGGGAGAACCTCGTTGTATCATGATTGTGTTTAAGGTCAATGTCATCTCCAAATACTATGATCAAAATGTGGATGACATGACAATGATAACACTTCATCCCGGTATACACAGCACGTTGATGCAACTTGGAAGGCAGCTTCAAGCTTAGGTCAGTATTCAAGATGATCAGTACTCAGCTCTAAGGTCAATGTCGAGCTTCAAGGTCAGTGTGGACTTCTTCGTTTATCACAAAAGCCCGTTTGTGAAGTAGTGAAACCGTTCGGACATATTCCTGGATTGTTTTTTGGTAAGGAATGGGTTTTTTTATGAGATCATTCTTTTTGAAGACTATAACATGCAGATATAAGACTGTGTCTTCAAAGCACCAGCACAATCATGTGAGAACAGATTACTATCCAAGTGTTTCTTTGGCATGTGAGAGTATTTTCTACTGGAGTTGGAAGTTATATTGGAAAGTTGGGAAGTTCCCTATTGTTAGATTTCCTGCAAGGTAATATTACAATGTACATGTATAGCAGATTTCTGAGAGAATTGTTTTCTGTAGGAAAAAAATATACAGCTTTTTTGCCATTAAGGAATCCTTGTATCAGCATATGGACTATTCAAGTCATGCCTAACATTTATATTTTGATTACAGCTGAGTGTATATATTATATTACCAGGCTAGATGTATTATATTACCAGGCTAGATGTATTATATTACCATGCTAGATGTATTATATTACCATGCTAGATGTATTATATTACCATGCTAGATGTATTATATTACCATGCTAGATGTATGATATTACCATGCTAGATGTTTTATATTACCATGCTAGATGTATGATATTACCATGCCAAATATATTATATTACTGTGGTAGAATTGTAGTGTATACTGGAATCTTCCTCCCCCTCTTTGGTAAAACCCCTATTAGTCCAGAGTTGGTTACTATACATAGTAATCACTAATCAGTGTACCCTATATATCACCAACATGATGATCTAAGCTTTATAACAGAGGGTGAAAGTGAAGCTGCTGTGAGCATTTTCCAATTAGTGTTGTGTTATTAGATCATACGTGGTATTGTTTGCGGATGTTAAATTTGTACAGAATCTGACGTGGTAGATCTGGTTTTTTGTAAAGATGCAATATTTTCGTGTGAGACAGGATTTTTGTTACTTTATACCTGATTAGTTAATATGCGATAACGCAGTAATATTATCTCATAGGCTCACATCAGATGATAGGACTTAACAAAATCATACTATATACTATGGTCCTAACCAGTATGTATGTGATATAGCACAGGCACATGTGATCAGGGTGATGTCTTATGTGTGGACATTTTCACATAAATACACTCAAATTTTCTATTATTTTTAGCCAGGTTAGCTTATGCCGTACTGCATCGTCCGTCATCCGTCCGTCACATTTTTCTTTTAAACAACTTCTTCTGAAGAACTGGAGGACCTAGGGTCATGATATTTTGCCAGTAGGTACCTTGGATGGAGTGCTATAAAGTTTCCTCAAATGACATTGACCTACTTTCAAGGTCACAGGGGTCAAATATGTTCAAGAATTCTAACAACAATATCCCAAGAACCATTTGGACTAGAGTCATGATACTTAGTAATGTTATGTAGACCAGCAGTGCAAATCTTTTTCTTAATTCCAGTAATGAGGTCAATGGTCAACTTTAGTGCTAGTTGGGGGTCAAATGTCAACATGGGTTAAAAGCTTTAACAATCTTCTTCTCAAGTTCCATAAGGCCCATGGTCATGATATTTGGCCAGTAGGTACCAGGGATAGAGTGCTATAAAGTTTACTCTTTAAAATAACCTTGACCTACTTTCAAGGTCACAGGAGTCAAAAATGTAAAGAAAACTTCTAATAACGATATCCTAAGAAGCATATGGTCTAAATTCATGATACTTGGATGTGTTATGTAGACCAACAGTGCAAATCTTTTTCTTAATTACAGTAATGAGATCAAATGTCAACTTTAAGTGCCAGCCGGAGTCAAATGTCGACATGGGTTAAAAGCTTTAAAATTACAATTTCAAATTTCAAACAACAATATCTTGAAAGTGTTTAAGAGATGTTAAAATGTCTTGTGTTGTTCTTGTTACCAAATTTGATCTGAAGTTACCTATATGTCAATTTCATGTAACAAAAGAAACAGGTGAGCGATACAGACCCTCTGGGCCTCTTGTTTTTATACACTCGTCGTCCGATGGGTTGTATTATGGTATGGGCTGCGTTGTCCGAAGACCGACCGTCTGTCAGTAAACTTTTCCTTGTCACCGCTGTCCTGCCTTCGTTCATGAATATATCTCAATGAAACTTGGTACACATATTGTATACAAATATAGCTTGAACAAGTTTGCATTTTAGAAGTTTACATGCAGTTTTAGTGCCAAATAAGGGCATTGTTTTCGCGTACTTTTGCTTGTTATGAATTGTTCTTCAATTTTTGTCAAACTTGATGGGATGTTTCATTACCTGAATGCATCTGATGAGGTCTTAAATCATGATATTCAAATGCCATTCGGCAGAGTTTTGTCCCTTTTCATTGCAGGGCTATGCACCTTTAATTGCCAAATATGGGCATTGTGTAGTAAATGCAAGAACTTTTTTTATTTTCTAATCAAGTCCTTTCAAATTTGGTATTGTAATGTTAGAAGCAATAATGTTCAACATATATTATGGGTTTTTCAGCTGAGTTTAAACTTAATGCGTTTTGGCGTATCCCACTTTACATAGCAACACCGTACTTCATTTTTGCTGTTAACTTTTCATTGTTTACACGATAACTCAAACAACTGTTCTACGATTTTTATTGAACTACTTGGTTGTTTCATTACCTGAATGCTTCGAATGACTTCTGAAAACGGTGACATTCACTATTCGGCAGAGTTAAGTAATGGACCAATTTCAACGAAATTTCCTGATATGATAACCACCACCTGCAGTTGTTTATCTCGGTTTTTTTTTTTCATTCTGACCCTTTTTTTACAAAGTTATGGCCCTTTGTTGAAAAAAACTTGTCCGGACAACTCTTCCAAAACTACGGGTCCAATTTCAACGAAAGTTTTCAGATATGATAACTACCACCTGATATTATGCATCATGGTATTACTTTTTTAATTCTGACCCTTTTTACGGAGTTATTGCCCTTTGTTGAAAAATGCTTTAAAAACTTCTGGGCCAATTTTAATGAGAGTTTTCACTTATTATAACTACCAGCTGATGTTGTGCATCCGGGTATTATTTTTTCAATCTGTCCTTTTTGTTGGAGTTATGGCTCTTTGTTGAAAAATACTTGTCATCACAACTAATTTCTACAAAAGTTTTCAGATATGATAACTACCCCCTGATGTTCTGCATCCAGGTATTTTTTTCCCAACCTTTTTTTATGGAGTTATGGCTCTTTGCTGAAATATTGTTGTCCTGACAACTTCTCCTAATCTACTTGGCCAATTTCAAAGAAAATTTACAGATATGGTAACTGCCCCCCGACGTTGTGCATCCAAGTAGTACTTTTTCATCCCAACCCTTTTAAAAGGAGTAATGGTCCTTTATTGAATAAACCTTTGTCTGCCTCATAAACTACTCGGCCGATTTCAATGAAAGTTTACAGACATGGTAATTACCCCCCTGATGTCGTGCATCAGGCTAGTATTTTTTTCATTTCTACCCTTTTTAAGGAGTTATGGCCCTTTGTTAAACATCTTTGTCCAGACATCTCTTCCTTAACTAATAGGACAATTTCAGCAAAACTGATTTATCTGGGCTTACTAGATTTGGTTTGTAAGTAATGTTTTGGCATGGGGAGGGAGTACAGGAAGTATGTCAGTGACCTGTATACTTAAATAAGTGTACAGCTCAGTCAATAAAGACACCATTACTGGTGGGAGACTGGATTGCTTTGCAATGTTTTGCCTTAGTAAGTCTTTAGTTTACAGTTCTGGTTTATATGGGAGCGGGGGGGGGGTATTAGTTAGCCGTTGCCTTAAAGTTCTAGTTTTATTTATTTTTCAACAATTACGAAACAAATTATTTTACTTATATTATCGCTCTTGGTGATCCGAATGTTGGCGCCCGCAGGGTCTTAATGTGGGAAGAAACGGGAGTACCCAGAGAAATTCCAAGTGGTCGGGCAGGTGACCCCATACAGTTTCACATCATGGAATGGAGCCTTTTGGTGAAAGGGGAGTGCACTATCCACTGTGCCACCCGAACACCACATCCACTGTGCCACCCGACCACCAAACTTACTTTATACTGGTAGGTTATTTTCATTGTATATTCCATATGTTGTCAAAAAATCAGCTTAATATGTCGAGCCATTATTAGTTTCAGAAAAATATTGGACAGTGTTTTTTGTGACAATTAATGGTTGGAGGTATCAAACAGACTTTTGGTATGGCAACACATGGAATTTGAAAATTAACACACAAAAAATAGAACGTGCACACGCAAGACATTGCCCTGACCACAAATATGCCAGTGTTATATATGTATATCTCTGTTGTTTGTTGGGGATTTCCTTAGTTAATTTGAGTTAGAGCAAGATCATGATCAGGATGTGAAAACTTGGTACATATTAAGATATTTAATTTTCATGATTTCAATCAATTAGCAATTTTAGCCATATAGATTGACATCTTTAAGATCTTTGCATGCCATGGTTTTCAACCGAATGTTTTGATCTGTAGTTATTTAGTGCTGCATTTCCTTATCCATTCAAACTTGATCAACACCATTTAAATGTATGTATTATATACCACATGTATGTTAAAAGACTGTTGCTGGTTTTGTGTTGGTTTAATTCTGTATACTCCAGCATAAAAAGTTTGATAGCCCTGCATGTGAGTTTTCTGGCTGACTACAAGCCCAGCTAGGTCACGCTGTGAATTGTTTATCTGATTGTTAACCAATAAATCGTTGTTGTTAGATCTGAACACGACTTTACTTTTTACTGACAACTGACCTCTGTCAATTTTGTCAAGATGGCCAAATTGACACAAACCTCTTATATTCTACTACCTTAAATGAGTTCAATGATACGACCATATATCTGTACAATATTAAGTTTCATATTTCATATTGTGACAATTTTAAGTACTTTCAATAGAAAAAAGAGCTCTGTTGATAACAAGGATGAGTTTCTAATATTTTGATGTCAACTTACACATTGTGTGATGTAATGGCACAGTGTTTTGACCACCATAACTATATTCAGCAAGAACCTGGTTTATCAGGATTCATATTCCAATACCATCATGATTGTATTAATCTGTATGACTTAAATGACCAATTAAGGTCAATTTAAATCTGACAATGTTCAAATTATGATAATTTTCTGATAATTATCAAAACTTCCCAATAATTATAAGAGAAGAAATAAATATGACAGAATTTTAGAGTGGTTTGGTGGTTCATGCTCTGTTTCCCGGCCCCACAGAAAGACTATGGTAGTAATTAATCTATAACAGAAAATACCAAATCAATTATACAACCTAACAGGTTCTTGTAAGAAGAAAATCAGGCAAAACCTGTGATCTATACATCTGTCCTTTGTTTTCCTAATTTTTTCACCGAATAAATCATGTGTTTATACCTGCATTTGTTTTAGAACGATTATCAACTATAACAATTAATGTTGATAAGACAGTACATATTTATCAGAAAGAAAACTGTTTGAATGTAACATAATTGTATTTACTTCAAACCCTTTCTTTCTTTGAGTTTCATTGAACAGCCGTACTGATAATTACTGCCGATTGTTTTCCACCTTATAAGTTTTACCTGTCGGAGTAATCCCTGTCAGCTTACCATATGTTACCTGTATAGCAAACAGTATTACCTGTATGATTGACAGCTGACAGTGTGTTGACAGATTAGGACTAACTACAGGTGGGTGTGTCACATGTTACTTTATATACATGTACCTGTCGGTACTGAGTAGGATACTAAAAGGTTCTTATCTAACAACAAGCAGCTCATTATTTGTCATACACTTGCTTATAAAGAGGATAACAATATATTTTCTTTAAAATCCTAATTTATTTCACCATTATTTGAAAAAAACCTTCTAATTTGGGTATAAAAATGGTAATAAATCAACAAACTTAACCACAAACTATTACTGATTGTTGTCTTAATCATGAGGTTTTTTCATTGTCAAACTATTTGCTAAACATAAAAAAAAGATGCATTGGTAGTTTGATACTTTCAGCTTATACCAGATTTTTATATTATCAGTGATGTCATCAGTCACACCTGGCCTTATCAGTATGAGGTTCATTTTTGACTAGGAATGTTTTATAAGATTTTTAGGTCACCTGAGACAAAGTCTCAAGTGACCTATTGCGATCGCCTTTTGTCCGTCGTCGTCCGTTATCCGTCGTCCGTCGTGCGTCCGTAAACAATTTACATTTTCGACTTCTTCTCCAAAACCCCTGAACCAATTTCAATGAAATTTTGCAGGGACCTTCCATGGACAAAGGTCAACAAAA